GTGGAGTTAAGCATTAGTTACAGTGTTGACCCCACCTTTAGCCCAGTGCCTTGACCCACTTACTTCCCAGCTCCACCCTCCACCAGGATAACCCTTCACATCTGCCAAGTCCCTTCAGAAAATATCTTCCATTGTCCAACCCATGATCTGACAGCTTGTATCTGAAGCTTTCTTGGCTTCTGTGGTTCCAAACACGCCAACTGCTGACATTTTTTTTTCTTTTGACCAGTGTCTTTTAAGTTTAGTTGTACTGTCTCCAAGGGAAGGTGATGTGTCCTGTAGAACTCCTGTGTAGGTTATGTTTTCCTTCGTGCGGCCCTCGGGCCCAACGGCTTTTCCTCTGTACTTGCACTATGCATCTTTGCTATTATCTGAGGTGACTTCCGCCAGTCCTCCGCTTATATTTGATGTTGTTGTTGATGATTGCACAACTCATAGCAACCCTATAAACAAAAGACCTGAAGCCTTTCTATAACTATTGGGGTTTCTCCAAGTTCATAGAGTTTCCAAAGGCATGTGGTTTAGGAAGTAGATGCCACTCCCGTTTCCAAACTTGTCTTAAACTGGGAGTTCCAGCAAACACTGTCCACAATAGGCAACCATTATGGCATTTGACACCCCAAAGCCACAAAGTTCAGCATCACAGCAAACCCAGATTACCTCAGTACACAAATTGACAGAAGAGTGCTGTATGACTTAGAAGAATGTTCCTCAAAAATATAATAACACGAGGCCTGCAGCCCTTGGGCCCAACCAACTTTAAAATAAATGGACCTTCCAGGAGGTCTTGTTGAATCTGAACAAGAGATTTAAATTAAAAAAACAATCAAACATTCCACACAACCCTCAATCAATACAAGAACGCCCATCTTATGGAGTCCAGCCATGTCATCCAGTCTCCAACATGAAGCCGAAGTGCTCCAGGAGGTCTTCTTGACTCTACAAGAAGCAGTCCAGTTTTGCCAGCACCATTTATCGAAGACGTTATTATTTCCCCATTTGATAGGTTTTATTTCTTTGTCAAATATAAGTTGCTTGTAGGACAGGTCCATTTCTGGGTTTTCAATTCTGTTCCATTGGTCTATGTGCCTATCACTGTACCAGTACTATGCTGTTTTGGTTACTACTGCTGTGTAGTAGGTTTTGAGGTCAGGGAGTGCTATGTCTCCCACTTCGTTTTTGTTTTTCAGAAGTGCTTTGCTTGTTTGAGAGCTCTCTCCTTTTCAAAGAAACTTGCCAAGTCCCTTTTCTGTCTCTGTGCCATCAGATGTCTCTGAAAAGTCACAGCTGCTGAAGCCCTTTGGAGCACAGTTCTACTCTGAAGCCCAAGGGGCAGGGTCAAATCAGCTGTAAGGTGTAGGGTTTGCTGTGGGGGAGGGGGTTACTATTATTTACTTGCATTTTTACTACTGTGAATCAGAGAGTGGCTTCTTTCAGGTATGTACAGTCTGCGCATAGCCATCCATACTCTTAGTCAAACTCTGGCCTCACCACTTCACTTCCAGTCTCCCAGAACCTGAACACAACTCTTCTCTTTCACTCTCCTCAGGGATCCAACCAACTGAACGAAGAGCTTCTCAGCAAAATCAACAATGCCAAAAAGATCCACTTGGTTCCTTGTCACCTCCGTGGCAAGTTTGTGTTGCGCTTTGCCATCTGCTCTCGTACAGTGGAGTTGGCCCACGTCCAACACGCCTGGGACCACATCAGAGAGCTGGCTGCCGAATTGCTGCGCAATGGGCTGGAGTGAGCAAATGCTCAGGTGAGTTCCGGAGGTGGGGCGCAGGTTAGCTAGGGGGTGGGCGGGACTGGAGCAAGCCTGCACAAGTGAGTTCTTGGGGTGGGGCCCAAGGGAGACCCAGCGGACTGGATTGGAGTGAGCATGCACATAGGTGGAGTTTCCCTGAGGCTGAGCACAGGTGAGCTCCTAAGGTGGGTCAAGAGTGAGAATATACACTGGTGAGCACCTTGGAGGAGTGGTGCAAGTGAGGCAGGAAAGAAAGAGCCTGCAGATTAGCTGCATGGGTACTGGTGAGCTCGATGGGAACATCTGCTCTTTCCTGTATTGAAACAAGAACCAGGGCTTCCTCAGCAGCTCCTCGGGAATGCTGCTGAGACATCTTTCCTCCGCTGGAAATTGAGAAAACTAAAACTAGCTAAAGGGAACTCTGATGTCTTAATAGGAAGGAGTCATGCTGATGACCCAAAGTCATTCGGTTCGAATGCACCAACTGCTCTGTGGGAGGGTAGGCTATCTACTCCTTGTGATTCACTTACTGTCTGAAAATCCGCTAGAGGGTCGGTTCTGAATTGAAGGCACACAACAAAAAGAACAAAACCAAGTAGCGTCCAGTCTGGAGAAGGAGAGCAACGAATGAGGTGTAGTTATTTTGTAAAATGCTAAGATAGATTTTCACTTTTTTGATATGCAAGTATTTCTATTATATTGGAGTCAGTGGTGAAGCAAGGGATTAAAGCACTCATACACAGTTTGGGAGTTCCAGTTTCTATCCACCTGGAAGTTCCGAAGAAAAGGCCAGCAATCTGCGGCCCTGAAAAGTTGGCAGCTGAGAACTGCTGAACTTTGCTCACCTACAAAGGACCCCTAATGTGAATCAGTTGGTCCTTATCATTCAAGTATGTAACTTTACTGTCCCATATTAACTGAGGAATTTACTACCACAGCAACTAAATATGTTCAAATGGAAGATTTTAGCTTAATGAAAACAATAGAAAGTTAAATTCATGTAACTGCAGGAGTTGCTGATAGGTTTGAACCCTGGTTAGCAGCTCTCTCTACTTTCTTTGGACTGGACCCCCAGAGCACACCCCATCTATGCTCTAGAGAAGGAAATGTTGAACCTCTTGGCTTTTTGTAATCATGACGCATTTATTCCATCCTAAGGAAAAACTGGAGATGGTACACTGTTACCCTATAAGGAAAAGATTTTAAATAAAGTTTAACAAAGGAAGAATATTTAAAATTGCATGTGTGGGTGCAAAAACAACCTCAAAAGTCTTACATCAGATTTTCTTGAGAACTTGATTTTATAGAAGTCTCCCTCCTTTCATGTTTCTCCCTTCTTTCTTTCAGTCCTGTTTTTGGAGGTTGCCGGTGTCTCTGTGATAACTTCATTTAATTCTCTCCCTTTCCATTTTCCCACTGACCACTGATCCTAAGTGGGGACTTAGAATGTAAATGAATAATAACATTTCTTTTACTGTAGTTTATTTCTACAATGTATTTTAGTGGATCTTTACTGTCTCCTGTTCCACCTTCCAAATTCTGATTTTGACTATCTAAGAGCAAATGTTACTCATTGAATGACTTTGCAAGGCTTACTGAACTGCAAAGCTTCTGGATCTAAAAATGACCTGAGACAACAGATTCTTTTCCTGATATGAAGAGATGCTTCCTCAAACGTGTCTACAGCTGGAGATGAAGAAGGGATTGCTCTGCTCAGAACACTCCAAATTAAATCAAATGACTCTCTGCAAAGTGTGGGGATGATGCTCCTTTTTTTTCATATTATTTAATGTCTCTGAACATAATACATTAAGAAAACCCGTGGGAGGTCAGGTATGGGTTGCTGTTGTTGTTGTTATGTGCCATTGAGTCACTTGCGACTCATAGGGACCCTATTACAACAGCCCTAAACCCTGATCTATCCTGTACCAATCGCACTGCCTCTGGCACACCCATCCTGATTACCCCAGTCACTAAATCAATCCACCTCATAGATGGTCTTCCCCTCTTGCATCATCCCTCCACCCTCCCAAACATGATGTCCCTCTCTAAGGACCTCTCCCTCCTTACAACATGTCCAAAGTATGTCAGACGAAGCCCCAGAATCCTTGCCTCCAAGGAGCAGCCCGGTTTAACCCTCTCCAGGATGAATCTGTTTGTTTTCTTGGAGTTCATGGTACATTCAATACTCTTCTCCAGCACCACAGCTCAAAGGCATCAATTCTCCTTCTATCCTCCCTAGTCATTGTCCAACTCTCTGATGCATAACAATTGATTGCAAAGACCATAGCCTTTATCAGACGCACCTTAGTCTCCAGAGTGACACCTTTGCTCTTGAGTACTTTAGAGAGGTTCCTAACAGCAGACTTTCCCATCACAATATGTTTTTTAATTTCCTGGCTATTGATGCCAAGAGTGTTGACCTAGGAGCCAAGCAGACTGAAGTTGTTAAGAATCTTAATCTCTTCACCATCCATCCTGATGCTGCCAATTGGTCCAGTGGTGAGAATCTTTGTATTCTTGACATTGAGCCTCAATCCATATTGAAGGCTGCAGTCCTTGACCCTCTGCAGCAAGCGCTTCAGGTCCTCCTCAGTTTCAGCAAGCCGGGTTGTGTCATCTGCATAATGCAGATTGTTAATAGATCTTCCACCAATCCTGACACCACACTTCTCATAGAGCCCAGCCTCTTGGATGATCTGTTCTGCATACAGGTTGAAAAGGTATGGAGATAGGACACATCCCTGGAATACACCTTTCCCAATTTTGAACCATGCAGTGTTTCCTTGCTCTGTTCTGACGACTGCCTCTTGGTCCAAGTATAGATTTCGCATTAGCACTATCAAGTGTTCTGGGATTCCCATTCTTCTGAGAGTCAGCCACAGTTTGTTATGATCCACACACTCAAATGCCTTTGCATAGTCAATGAAACACAGATAGACATTCTTCAGCTATGGGCAGGTTCCAATTTAATGGGACAACAACACATACAAACTGTAGCAAGCCACCTAAAAACCTTTATTTGTATTTGGCTCTGAAAAATCATCAGAAATAAAACCATATTTCTGATAGAAGTCACAGTTCTTATGGAGTCATTATACCTGGAAGAAACGGAAATGGTAACAACAGAACCAGGAGTGGCATCCATTTCCTAAATAACATGCCTCCAAAAATTCTATGAACTTTGATAAGTGTTCATGGTTATAGAGGGGCTTCAGGCCTTGTGTTCATGGGGTCGCTATGAGTCATGATTGACTTGAAGGCAAACAATAATAACAGCCTTAATTTCCTAATATTGCTGCACCAGAAATACCACAAGTGGGTGGATTTTTAAAAAGAGGATTTATTGTCTCACAATTCTGGAGGCCAGAAGTCCACATCCAGGACTCCATCTAAAGGAGATCTTCTCACTTGAGAAGATGCTGGTCTGGCATCTTTCCTCAGCTCCCATCAATCCTCCTGCTGAACCTGCACTTCCTCTCAAGCTCTGTGCTCCCTAGGTCACTCAGAAAAAATGGTAACTAATTTTATAAAACATAGTGCAGAACAGATCACTCAGGAAGCAGGGCTTTATGAGAAGGAGTGTGGCATCAAGATTGATCTCATTAACAACCAACCTACGATATGCAGATGACACAATCTTGCTTGCTGAAACTGAGGAGGACCTGAAGCACTTGCTGCAAAAGGTCAAGGACTGTAGTCTGTAATATGGATTGAAACTCAACATCAAGAAGACAAAGATTTTCGCCACTGGGCCAACTGGCAGCATCATATTAGATGGAGAAGAAATTGAGGTTGGTAACAACTACAGCTTGCTTGGACCCACAATCAACACTCTTAACACCAGCAGTCAGGAAATCAAAAGACGAATTGCATTGGGAAAATCTGCTGTCATGGACCTCTCCAGAATGCTGAAGAGCAACGATGTCAGTCTAGATACAAAGGTGTGCCTATTCCATGCCATGGAGTTCTCAATTATTTGTTATGCTTCAGAGAGTTGAACAATGACTAAGGATGACAGAAGAAGAATAGATGTGTTCCAGTTGTGGTGCTGGAGAAGAGTCTTGAACATACCATGGACTGCCAAGAAAACAAATAGGTCTGTATTGGAGAGGGTGAAACCAAATCTTTCCTTGGAGGCTAGAATTTTGAAACTCCGTCTCATTTACTTTGGGCATGTGGCCAGGAGATATAGGTCCTTGGAGAAGAACATCATGCTCGGAAGCGAGGATGAACAGTGCAAGAGAGGGAGACCCTGGATGAGATGGATTGATACAGTAACTGGGGTGATGGAGGTTGGTATGTCGGGGTTAGAGAGACTGGCTTAGGACAGGAAAGCGTTCAGAGCTGCTGTACACAGGGTCATTATACATCGCAGGTGACTCAATGGCACATAAAAACAGTAACATACTATGACAGGTTTGGAAGCAAGAGTGGCATCCACTTCCTAAATAACATGTCTCCAGAAACTATATATGAACTTTGACAAATGTCGATAGTTATGTAGAGAGGCTTCAGGTCTTTTGTTCATAGGGTAGTTATGAGTCATTCTTGACTCGAAGGCAATCAACAACAACAACAATGCATAAGAATGATTGTATGAAACATAATGTGAATGAAGAATAGGGTGAAACACAATGTATACAAACTTTGTAATCAAGCCAATTAAAAAATCCTAAATCCAGCAGGTAAGCCACCACAGGAAAAGAGAAAAAAGAAGTTAATCAGGCTCAAGACTCTAAAGTGAATGGCCTCATTAACATAACAAAGAAAATCCTGTCCCCACTTGGGGTCTAACACTTTTCAATCCATAACAGATACAATAGTTAATAACCAAAATACACATATGTAGTTCTGGCCAGATTGATTGAAACCACGAAAAATATCTTAAGATCTTGGTTTTACGTGTGCTTTTTTAGGTTATTGCATCTTATCTATGTTGTATCCATGTGGTCATAATTTTAAGATATTTTATAGAGAACATAGTTGATATTGATAAAATTTATCATTTGAGAAGTCAAGACTATAAAAAAAACATACTTCTTTCCATTTAGGCTTTTATGTTTCCCTGGAGAAATACAGTATGCAAACACTAGTTTTGTATTTGCATAACCAACAGATAAAAACTCTTCAATTCTTTTAAATTAAATTGTTTGAGTGATATGTTCATGCCCTTTTCCCTCCCTTCTACTAGATCAAAAGCTGACAAGAAATGTGTCTGGAAATGTGATTGAGAAGAGCGTCCTGATCGCCTGGTGGAGGCTTGTATGGCCTCACCATTCTCCCTCCTAACTTGTCCCAAAGCTTGTGATGTCATTTGCTTGGCTCTCCATCAACACAGATGAATTGTTTGTGATGTGCGATGTTAAAAGTTACTCTTAGTGGACACAGCTTGTGTGCATTATTTGGTTGTGATTTTTGTAACTGAAAAAATTATAGGTTTTCCTGTTCTTGCTGTCATTAGTGGTGACATGTAAAGGTTTACTGAAATATTTTCCTAGACAATCTATGATATTGTAATTTGAGATTATCCTGTGGTTTTCAACGTTGGCTTTTGTTGTATGGTTAAATTCACAATAAAACAATTTGATGTGTAATAGTCGTATATAATATCTTATTCCACATTGTTCCAAATAAGGACCTCTGGTGAAGAAGGAGGATGGGCAATCCTCTCCCGTGCAATTTATTGCTTTTGAAAATCCACGTGGATTGGTTCTGAGTCCACAGCACACAGCAACACTGTTCCAAATTGGATATTTCAATATGGACTTCTTTCAAGATAACCAAAGATATGACATTCTTGGAATTTTTTTTAAAATATGGCATTCATTCAGTTGAGTTCTGGTGACCTAATGGTAAGAAGCTGCACTCCAATCCTGAAGTCCTGCAGTTCAAATCCACCAGTTGTTCCTTGGTAGAAGGATGAGCAATCTCCTCTCATGTGATTATGGCTTCTGAAAAATCCACTGGAGGGTCAGCTATGAGTTGTTTCTGACTCGATGGTATACAACACCAACATTCTACTCATTCAGTCAGTCAATATTTGAGTCCTTAATATATGTCAGAGAATATTTTAGATGTACTAACAATATACTAATTTTACTATAAGTTCTGAGGAAACAAATACACATCCCAGTGCCATCTTGAAAGGGCATGTTCTGTGATGACCAAGAACCTCACCTGGAGAAAGTCATTGTTAAAGCCACATGCACGTTTCTGAAATTGACTGAATTATGCATAGTCATGGGCATCATCTGTCCATGATCCCCAAAAGACCTAGAAAGGACTTCTAGTGGCAGGCATTTTGAAAGAACCACACTATTCACCTACACGGTTACACTTAACTTTACATCATCTTGACTCAGAAAAACAGTACTGCACTTGCTAGCAGTGTTTAATTAAAAACTTTTTACCGTAAAAAAGGTACATTAGAGTACTCCACATTTATTCAATGGTATTGTTAGGAAGAGATATAACTGTTAGTCTAGAAGGACCATTTTGAAGAAAAAGAAAACTTCCTAATCAAATTTTTCAACCTTTAAATGTGTTAGTTTGTTTCTTTGCCCTGTTGTTTATAGCTGAGCCTCATTTCCTTCTACATTGCAATAAGGCCTTCTGACCTTTTATCAAAGATGATCTTTTCAATTATTAAAAAGAAAGACTTTAATGTTTTAATTTTTAACTGAATTACTGCTAAGTTTGCTCTGTATCCCAAACTTATTTATTTTCTCATTCACTTTCCCCCTTTAGATGTCTATTTTCCCCTGAGACGGTTCGGGTACTTCATGCATTACAAGACCCAAGAATACACCCTAATGAGTAGCCTAGGCACCTCCAGTTGTTCCATCTTAAGAACTTCTAACTCTATTAAAGAGCTTTTAGTTGCTAAGTGAATGACTCTTATCGGACTTTCTTTTTTACTTTTTTCCCAACTATTTCATTTACTTAGATCCACAATCAGCATTCATAGTGGTAGCAATTAAGAAATTGAAAAACGTGTTGAATTGAGAAAAATCTGCTGTCAAGAACCCCTCCAAAGTGCTAAAGATTATGGTTATCAGAATAAATCTAAGGTACACCTGATCCATGCCATGATATTTTCTTATATAATATTTTTGAAAAATTTTAATTGTTATTTTAATGAAAGTTTACAGAGAAGTTGGATTTTTATTCATTCATTGTTGCACATTTTCCTCCAGCCTTCTCTCTTCTCCCCCTCCAGTTAACTTTCTTCTTCTTTTTTTTAATATTCATTCATTGTTGTACAATTTCCTCCCTCCTCCCACCTCTCCACCTCCCTCTGTCAACTTTGCAATGCACCTCTTATTCTGGACTATTGTCATACATATATCTAATCATAGATTCCTTTTAAACAGTTACTTCTTGTATCTGTTCTAATGCGGTATCCACTCTTTTTCTAGTCTCCTCCCAAGCCCCCATGTCAGTACTGCTTTATAACAGTAGTGTAATGCAGTATTTGTCCTTTTATGATTGAGATATTCCACTCAGCATAATGTCCTATATGGTCATCCATGTTGTGTAATGTTTTATGAGTTCATTGTTTTTTTAGCGCTGCATGTTATTCTGTAGTATAAATATACCATAATTCATCTCTTTGCTATTGTGAATAATGCATCAAAATAAAAAAGCAAGGGTGCATATACATCTGTTTTGATGGCAGTTCTAGTTTCTTTATATTCCTATTAGTGGAATTGTTGGGTCAAATGTTATTTCTATTTCCAACTTTTTGAGAAAGCACCAGACCACCTTCCATAGTGGTTGCACCATTTAACACTCCCACCAACACTGAATCTCTCTATAAC